AGCCTCAGCATCTGGCTTGAGAACATCTTTAGATTTCTCTTTTATTCTTCCTTGAATCAAGTCCCTCATCTTTATCTGTAAGTGTTATAGTATGCATGGTGCCATTCCTAGGTCCAATGAAAAAATACATCATTCTGTATTAACTGTACCAGCCTACTAAAGATTGGTATGTGGGAAAGTAATTGAGAGGAAAGAAGGTTGTATAAGAAAGAAGATTGAATAAATATTTGCCATGGCTTTACTCCCTGGTACCAAAAAATAAAGTATTTGGGTCTAATGTAGCTGTCAACTGTCTTCCATATTTATTTTATTAAGGATAGCCTTATATGGTATATATAAATGTTAGTACCGGCAAGACTAAGGCTTATAAATTGTCTGTTGTCATGCCTAAATTTTAGTCTGTGGTCAACATGGTAATAAATGTATTATGCAGATAAATTCTTCTTCACCCTGGTGACTCACTTTCATAATCTTAGTTACTTGGGAGGATTGCAGTTTAAGGCCAACTTGGCAGAAAAATTCACAAGGCACTTTCTCAACTTAGAGCTTGGTAGAGTAATCTGTACCTGTTATCCTAGCTCTGATTGGAAGCCTAATATAGGTGGACCATGAACCAGGCACATACCCAATCAAGAAGTAAGAACCTATATAAAAAAAAAAACCTAACACAAAATGGGGCTAGAAGTGATTCAGCAGAAAAGCACTTACCTGCCTAACAAGCCCCTACTTCAAAATTCATTACCACGATAAAATAAAACATCCTCCTAGCTAAACCCAAAACACTGGAGTGAAAAGAATCAGATTATGATTTCTTCTTGAGGATTTAGAATCCTACGTTTATCGTTCTTTGAATCATAGGCTGATCAGAATATGGCCCCTTCCATCTTCTATAAACACAAACATATAAATATCTAAAAATAATAATTCTGCACAGAGAGTGTTAGATGATATAATAAAGGTGCTAAAAATTTAGTTTCTGTATTCAGTTTGGGTATAATTCCAGGCTCTAGCTTTGTGACATTATCTAAGATACTAAATCCTTTTCAAACCTCACTCTTTTTATTAATAAAATTTTTGGGGATTAAATGAGAATATAGAACGATGCACAGAGTCTGGTATATGATTAATATGTCAGACTTTTCTAATACCTTTGTAGATGTGCTTGGCCTGCAGCATACTGTTGCTTGCACCCTCTAAGACAGCTGTGACTTGTTTATAGTGCCCTCCTTGCCTTGAACTCTCCTGGTTACCCACTTATGCCTTCTGATCTTCCATATATTCCTCAATACTTTTTTCACTATGAACATTTTCATTATACATATGGCCCTCTTCCAGAAGACTCTGAGTTGAGGGGCAGAAACTATCCTTTCACCTTCATAGCTGCCTTATGAAGCACATTGTTTGACACACAATAGGTATTCAGTAAATATTACGTTGATGCATGAAGCTATAAAGTACTCCAGTGAATATGCCCAGAAAAGTAACCTGAAATCCAAAATAGAAGATACTGGCAGGGTATAGTCACAGATTTCTCCCACAAGAGTTATTGTGACAATTTACATATATGGAAATGTTGAAAGAATTTTACAGTGAAAATCCACAAACCTTCCATATATATTCCACTTTTTGTTAATTTTATAGCTATTCATCAGTTTGCCTATCCAATTTTTCAGTTAATCAATTTTAATATCTTAAACCATTTCAAAGTAAGTTACAAATGCCCATATACAATGCCTGAATACTTCAACATATCTATTATTGGCCAGAGTTCTGTGTTTGTTAACAGTTATTTTGGTAAATAAAGTATACTTTCAATGCAATATACAAATAGGAAGAAGGCTATTTTTATTATTTTGACAAATGTGTGTCTCTTGTCATCTGAGACATGGAAATGTTCTATGTCTTTGCTATCAAACTGATTGTTTTCCAGAGCAATGTCTGATTTGATTTCTTAAAAGTATATATTAGTTTGCCTTATTACAGAACTTTCTGTAAATAGGATCATAAAGTATATATTTTTACCTTTTGTTGCTTTTTTTAATCTAAAATTCCACTATCACTTTCTAGGTATTACAGATGCCTGTGTTTGCCTTCCAGTCTTTAAGCTGGTAGGGCTATAGGTTTTTTTTTAAATAAGTTTTTTTTATTGTGAAAATACTGTGCAGAGGGGTTACAGTTATAAGAGCAAGGTAATGAATACATTTCTACGTTTGGACTGTTTCACCACGTATCACTGAAGCCTGACCATAGGCAAAAGGTATAATGAATGAAAATTTTACATACTTCCATTCTTTTTTGGTCGTAGGTCTTGCACTATGGGCCTGGGCACTGTCCCTCAGCTCTTCAGCCAAGGCTAGCGCTCTACCACTTGAGCTAAAGCGCCACTTCCGGTTGTCTGGTGCTTTATTGGAGATAAGAGTTTCACGGACCTTCCTGCCTGGGCTGGCTTGGAACTGCGATCCTCAGATCTCAGCCTCCTGAGTAGCTAGGCTGACAAGCATGAGCCACTGGCGACTGGCTTCCATTCTCTTTTCAGTGCATTTCCCTTCTAGTTTCTGCATACTTTTGTTCATTTCTTCGTTGCTTGCCTTCTCTATTTGTCCATTTAAATTCGTTACCAGGAGGAGGTTGATCCAATAGAAGCTTGTGCTTCATTACCAGAAGTCATGCCCAGACGGTTTTTAAAAGTCAGACCAAACAAGCATCTAGCTAGAGGACCTGTGAAATGCAGGCTGGGAAAAGCAGGGTATAAAGAGATACAGTTTTTTTTAATAGGAGAAGATTCTGTTTGACAAAAAAAACGTTTAAAGCATAACAGTGTTTTGGAGAGCTTGCTATTGACAATTTTTTAACTGTTTAGTGAATCCCAATAGTAAGTTATGCTATCAATAGTGTAGGCTTGAAAAATCATTTTTTCCTCTAACCTATCTTCAAAACATAAAACAAGTAGAAAATTAACGCTGCTGTTTTTCATGTTTATCTTCAACTCTCTATTTAGAGAATAGGCTAAAGAGTCACTGAGATATCATAAGCCTTTATTTTTATTGGACTTCTCTTGTAACAGAAATGATACAAAAATAATGGCACAATTTCCAGAAAATGTTAAATATATTTGCAAAAATGAATCAAATGGGCTGGGAAGGTGGCTCAGTGGTAGAGTGCTTGCCTTGCATGCATGAGGCCCTGGGTTCAATTCCTCAGCACCACATAAGCAGAAAAACCCAGAAGTGGCATTGTGGCTCAAGTGGTAGAGTGCTAACCTTGAGCTGAAGAGCTTAGGGACAGCGCGGTAGCCCAAAGTTTAGGCCCCATGACTGGGGAAAAAAAAAGGATCAAACATTGTCGTAATGATGTAGATTTGATTAACAAGCATGATGAACTTTGGAGACTCACAGTTTTGGGGGTTTTCTGGTTGGTCGTGGGGTCTGAACTCTGGGCTTGGGTACCATCTCTCAGCTCTTCAGCTCAAGGCTAGTGCTCTACCAGTTGAGCCACAGCACCACTTCTGTCTTTTTCTGCTTATGTGGTACTGAGGAATCAAACCCAGGGCCTCATGCATGCATGGGAAGCACTCTACCACTGAGCCACCTTTCCAGCCCAGAGACTCACACTTTTAAGACATCCTCAGTATGTATCTTTAATGCGATAGAACAAGCATTGAGAATATGTTTGTCACTCTTACACTGTGCTCTCTCATCACAAATCTCAGAGTACTGAGTTTATTGGAAAAGAAACAGCAGAGTACATTATTATTGGAAATGCTATAAGTAAAGATGATTAAACCATTCTCCCTTATTTCAGTTTTTCTCTTCTATAGTCTTTCTGTATTCTTCCATACCTCACCCAGGTTCATGAGCTAGCCATCAGAAATGTAGCTGCATTGAGCTAAAAAATAAATTAGTAGGAGATGCTAACTGATCCTTCAATTTTTATATTAGATAAGGCTCTGGAAATTATTTCAAATTTATTAATGATTCTGGTGATCTATTTTTCTCTCATTATAGGAAACTGTGATAATGTCATCATTAGCAATGAAAAAGATAAAAGAGAACAATAGTTCCATGACTGTATTTTGATTGAGTGATGATTATTTACTTAATCGAAGACCTGAAAGGATTTACAAAATTAAAATTCGTGTAAATAGATAGATACTGAGGCCAAGAAGAGTGGCAGTTCTAAGATACCAAACTCTTTTCTAGAGTTGAATAATACATGTAATTATGAATTCCTTGAAGTTAGGGTAAAATTAGTTATATTATAATCTAATAACTTATACTTTTAAAAAAAGAGTAAAAATTCCAGGTTCTTTAGGCTCTCAAAGTTAATTGCATGGAGTCTGGTATGGATTTGATGGTTCCATTAACTACCACCCTATCTGGGAAACTTTGGAGGCTGAAGGTGATGTTATTAATAATTTAGCACTTATAGTTGTGAGGTATGTAGTAATATGATACGTTCTCATAGATCTGCAAAAAGTACAAGGAAATACTCAATGTTTCTGCCTTGTCCATCAGTATAGATGGAAGGAGCCATTTTTACTCTTTATGCCTTATGGAAAACAGGGTAGTGGTTTAGGTCCTTTGAACTTCTAAATGCCTATCTCTCAAAATATCCAGTCTATACTATATTTTGGAAGCTTTAAGACTTTCCATTTTTATTGTATCACAATTTTCTTACTCTGCTCTACCCCGTTCCCTTGCTCCATAGCTCATACATCTGATCTCAAACCAAAATCTTTTAAAATTACTTTTATTGATCTGAGCTTTTATTTATTTTCAAATTCTAAATATGAATCTCTAATAATGGAATATTTAGAATTTTCAGTCACTGTATGCATACTATCTCTTTGAGTAATCCTAAGGTGCTAAGGGTACATGGATACCAATTGCAAAAGTTTGAAAACATGATAGAGATCCCACAATCACTGTAGCAACTGGATGTAGCTAATACTTATGTTAAACTCTGCATTTACAATATTTCCTTTCACTTTCTTTCTCTAGGCCTACTCCGTGTATGATGAAGATATAGGGTACTGTCAAGGACAATCTTTTCTTGCTGCTGTACTACTGCTGCATGTAAGTAATTTTCCACATGATAAATAGCACGGTGCTACCAAATTTATTTTCTACTTGGATGTGTTCTTTCTTCCAATTTCCCATTTACCTGATGAAAATTACATATGGCATATCTGTTTGAAAGTACCTTGGGTGATAAAGCAAAAGTTCTGATGTCAAGGACAGGACAGTTTTTCAATAGAAATAATTTTACTGCCCAGAAAAAAAAATAAATTACTTGTTTGGACTTATTTTTAACTAAAACAATGTAGAATAATGAAGTCAATGTAACTGCCCAGATATACAGACTTGGTCCACTATGAAGCAGTGTACTGTGACAAAGAGGTCTTTTACATTTTCTATGATTTATTTTTATATACTGCCTTTCTTGACAGTCCCCTTCATTTAACTGAACACTTACTGAGCATCAGTTGTGAGGCCCTGGCTAAAAGTGGGATTACAAATATGAATCATTTAAAATTTGTGTTCTCAAACACTTCAAAATCCCAGATGGGCCACAGATAATGTACATACAAACTTATTATTTTTTCCTCTTCTGTGTCTCTATTGATTTTTCTGATGACAAAAATAATACATGCTTACTAGAGCACTTACAGTTTGTGAAGCCAAGAAAAAACACTGAGTAAGATAATAGAATTATCTAACCCACTTTTGCCAGAACTTTCAGAAAAAATTTTCGGGAGCCAGTGGCTGTTTTGCCAAGGTATAAATAACTTGTTTGGGGAGAACAAGAGGGAGAACAAATAGCAAAGAATTCTAGACAAAAGAAACAAAAGACAATGTATGGAAATAAAAGGGAACTGTATACAAATGGAGCTTATGAAATTACAGTTGGCTTAGGAACTATATCAAGAAGTGCTGTGGTGTGGTAGGATGAGCAGGGGCCACAATATGGAACTTGTGTAGTCATGTAAAAATGTGACTTTCTTCTAGAGCAAATGAGAAGTCATTGGTTAGTTTGAAGTAATGGAGTAATATAATGATATATTCTTTTAAGATAATTTCTTGTCATACTTGTGTAGAGAGGGGAATTAAAACAAAAATCAGAGAGACTATTAGGAAATACCAATCTAAGCAAGGTACCCATGCTAGCTCAGGAGCCTGAGACCCAGCGAATTATAGTTCAAAGCCAAAGCCATTCCAGGCAGAAAACCTCATCCAACACTGTCTCCAAAATAACCAGCAAAAATCAGGACTGGAGGCATGGTTCAAGTGGTACAGTGCTACCTAAGCAAACAAAGTTAAGCAAGCAAGTTAAGTGAACAGGAGGCTCTGAATTCTAACTCCAATACTGCAAAAAGGTAAAACAAAAAAAAAAATCAGTACAGTGCCACCTAAGCAAACAAAGTAAGCAAGTTGAGTGAACACAAAGCTCTGAATTCTAACTCCAATACTGCAAAAAGGTAAAAAAAAAAAATCAATCTGAGAGGCTGGGAAGGTGGCTCAGTGGTAAAGGGCTTGCCTTGCATGCATGAGGTCCTAGGTTCGATTCCCCAGCACCACATACGCAGAAAAAGCCGGAAGTAGTGCTGTGGCTCAAGTGGTAGAGCGCTAGCCTTTAGCTGAAGAGCTGAGAGACAGCGCCCAGATCCAGAGTTCAGGCCCCACAACCAACAACAACAACAAAAAAATCAATCTGAGAGAGATTGAGAGCCAGAAGAAAATCATAATTAGTAAATATTCAACAACATGTTGGTTTTGTGGGTTGATTAGGAAAAGAATGGTCAAAGGTCTAGTTTTCTAGTTTGGTGGCTGGCTGAATGTACTGGTATTTTTAGCTGAGGTAGAAAATGTATCCATTGAGATTGTATGGAAGAAGTTCAGAGGTTGTTGGTAAATTTTGTTTTAAATTTGAGGTATTTCTGAGGCATCTAAATAGAGCTATCCAGCAGCCAGTTGAGTTTTGGAGACTAGTTTTCAGGGAATAATTAATGCAGAAATCTTTTGAGTAGATTAGATCAAGTAAGAAGGATAAACTAAGCATTTCAGGGGCTGATGAAGTGGAAGCCTTAAAGTTCAGTTTTTCAGTAGAGTGAAAACAGTGCATAGTGTTAAATGTAGAAGACAGGCCTGATAAACTTAAAATTAAAATTGGGTTTGGCATTCTGAGAATGAAGAGCGTTTAGTAGACTTATCATTACCATCCTAATTTTGATGACTTGGTTGTTCTGATAGAAATATATGATGGTTCTACTGAGATTATTCATTTCATCTCACTTTGATATTGATTTCTTCCTCTGCTGTGTTAGCACCTAGTTATAGTTACCTCTATCTTCTCATTTTCTTTCTTTGATATTTTCTTTATATATACTATTGTAAAGATACTGTACAGAGGGGTTACAATTACATGAGTAAGGTAATGAGTATGTTTCCTATAGAGCATTGTTACCCTTCCTTTGTTTTTCCCCTACCTTCCTTCCCTCCCCAACTCCTCCCCCGTGCCTGAAGATATATTAGGTTCATTTTCAACATAGTGTCTTGTACATTTCTTTGATATTTTCAAATCTCATCTTCTTGGGACACCCTGTGATTAGCAAACACTTTTTATCACAAGTTCTCAGGAGGTTTTCTACTGTCAATCCACCTAGAATCAAGAAATGGTCAGGTCCTTACTGCAGGACTGCAGACTGGGTACTTTAAGCCATCTCATGAGTGTGTTCATCAGGGCACAGAGCCATTTTCTTCTGAAAAAGCTTTATAACCACGCTGATGAGAAGATGATGACATGTTAAGGACTTTGTTTGGAAAAAATAATCTTTGAATATATATTCAAAGATTTTTACCTGTCCCCTTATTAATACATTATAATAAAGTACTGTTTTAATTTTATGTGTTTATAGTAAGATATTATAATTGATTAGTTAAATATATCAATTTAAATGTACTCAATATTAATATGATTATATATTGATTACAATATTGTGATTAAAGAATTTATCTGAAAAATATGTTTTGAGATTTTTTATCTTTTTTATTATTATCTTTAAGTAGGTTCAGAAATGGGTTACTATTTAATGTGTAAGTTTATGAGTATAGTTCATCTTGATCGATGTCATTCCTTTTCATAATTCCCCTAACTCTCCTAACCCTATCCCATCCTCTCAATGTTTATAGTTCCATTTTTACATATGTACATTGAATATTATGACTACATTTGCCCAACATTCCTTTCTTCATTCATCTATCCGTTCTTCTTGACTTCACCCGCCCCCCCGAAACCACAAGTTTCAGCTTCTTGGTATTCATTTTGTTCATCTTTGAGGTCTTCATTCAAAGGAGTTACACCATAAGAATTCTTTTCTGCATATGCATACGTTAGTTAATGTTTTATATATACATAATACCGTGTACATGTTTACATATATTTTTATAATTTATATCTAACTTCCACATATGAGAAAAAATTCATCCTTTGTCTTTCTGAAACTTAGTTTACTTAGTTCACTTTGCATGACTTTTTTTCTAGGTCCATCCATTTCCTTGCAAATAACATAATATCAGTCTTCTTGATGTAATATCTATACATACACATATATGTGCATATGTGTATTTACACATGTATGTGTATGTATACATACTCACATATGAATATACAAATATCTTTACTGTATTCTGACCTTTAATATTTTGGATAAACACTCAGGAATGGTATCTCTGATCATAGGGTACTTCTACATTTAATTTTTTGGAGGATTTTCCAAACTGCCTTCCACAGTGGTTGTACCAGTTTGCATTCCCACAACAGTGTATTAGGGTTCCTTTCCCCCCACATCTGTTCCTTTGAGATTTCTGAGAGGTTCATTGAATTGCAAATTCACAATTTTTGGAAAACATACCATATCCTATCCCTTAAATTGAGACAGTGAGTCAAATAGCTAGAAACTCAAATAGAAAAAATTATATTAAGTGAAGTAAGCCAGGCCCAAAGAAACATAGGTCCCATGGTTTCCCTTATTTGCAATAACTCATATATGTCTGGGACAAGCAGAAAAGGTCAAAAGCTACGTACATATGACCAGATAAGATGATGTTAAGCAACATGAACCCCAAGATAGGGACACACGTGTTTTTTTTCTTTGTTGCTATTGTTTCTAATGTATTTGTAATGTACCATGTGATTTTTTTTGTTTCTTTGTATGTTCCTCCCCATGTTTACTGTATTTGATGGCGGTAGCCTGCATCCTGTATATACACTTCTCTAATTTGGGGAAGGGAAGGGAAAAAAACAAAATGCTTAAATAGGGATACAGGTTGACCTATTGTAACAATGAGATGCACAAGACACTATGTTGAAAAATGAATTTTACACTTTAGGTGGCGGAGGAGTATAGTTGTGGAGGTGGAAGGGATGATAGGGGTAAAACAAAGGAGGAGGTTACAATGCTTGATAGGAAATGTACTCATTATCTGCTCATGTAACTGTAACCCCTCTGTACAGTATTAAAATTTTTTAAAGAATTAAAAAATTCAAATATTGTTTTTTATTATCTACCTTATAGTAATAAGGGTCACTTGACAAACCAGCCTTTGTGAGATTTTCCAATAAAATAGCTTCTACAGGATGTACAAGATGTACAAAATACTAAATCCATGGGCACAGTTGGCTCACACCTGTAATCCTAGCTACTTGGTTCATACCCAGCCTGGGCAGGATAGTTTGTGAGACTGTTAACCTCCAATTAATCATCAAAAAAGCTGGAAGTGGAGTTGTGGCTCAAGTGATAGAGTGTAGCCTTGAGCAAAAGCCTCAGAGACTGCCCAGGCCCTGAGTTCAAGCCTCCTGAACCCACACAAGACAAAGAAAACAAAAAATGTCAGTACAGTCTCTCATACTTTCTAAATTAATAGAATTGCACAGTTGGTATGGCATATAAAAATAATCTGAAATGTAGATATGCCTTCAGAATCCTTAAAGAAAGAGTCAGCATAGTGTTAATAAAAAGCTACTGTAGTCTAATTTTAATTAGTATCATGCATGAAAATTCTGGTACTCAGCCTATTGCACTAACCTACCCAGTGTCCAGTCTGAATAACAGAATTTAACTGGGCGGGTTTTTTCCTCAGATTTTTTTCCCTGCATAGTTTCACTGGTAGAATATAGGCTAGCTTAAAATTTTCATCAATTTCATCAAATGCACTACCTCAGGTGCCAGCAAGATATGTTGCTAGGATCTTTCTGGCTAATTTCTCATCCGTTACATAAGCTATTGCTTCTTTTTGCTGCCAGACATCCTTTGGCGGCTTCATATTAATCACTGTCAGAGCAGCTGCTTTCAAGATGCTGTCCATTCAGCATGCATGGTCATTTATATTTCACATACTTTAAAGAGAAAAAAGAGACACTAAAAAATGAGACTGTGGGGCTGGGAAGGTGGCTCAGTGGTAGAGCGCTTGCCTTGCATGCATGAGGCCCTGGGTTCGATTCCTCAGCACCACATAAGCAAAAAGAAAAAAAAAGCTGGAAGTGGCACTGTGGCTCAAGTGGTAGAGTGCTAGCCTTGAGCTGAAGAGCTGAGGGACAGCGCCCAGGCCCAGAGTTCAGGCCCTACGACTGGACGCCCCGAGTGTGTTCAAAACCCAAGTTTTGAATTTTCTGGTTTTTCTAAGTCGGGGTTTAAAAGTTAATAAGCTTCTTCAGTGCTTAGAAATTTCCAGATTCTTTAACAATAGCTTTGTGCTTAGTAGTTTAAATTGTAAAAGGATTACACAACAGATGCTGTTATATCCACTTATAACAGAATAAGAAACTTACCCATTTACAAGGGGAGGATAATATAGCAGGGACTACTTACCACCATTACAGTTTTCAACTGCCTTTAAAATTAAATGTGGAACATCAGGTTGGGTCTTTCATCTTTTTCCCTCCTCTCCCTCCCTTCCCTTCCCTTCCCCTCCAGTCTGGACAGGAAAATCCATGAAACTCTTACCTCCAATTAGGTCAGAAGTGAAGTTGTGGCTCCATTGGTAGAATACTAGCCTTGGGCACAAAAGCTCAGGAATAGTGCCCATGCCCCAAATTCAGGCCCCAAGAGTGGTGCACAAGAAAATGAATTTTAATTACTGAAGACCTACCCTGTTCCCATGATTTAATACCTTATTTAAAATACACTAGTAAGTTATTTATTTTAATGTACTTAAGGATAATATATCAATGATAAATTAGATCTTGTTGTTCAGTAAAGCATTAATCATTATAGCAGGTGAAATAGTTACATTCATGTTCTTTTTTAAAAAAAAATCACAGACAGGCACCACTGTACTTACCAAGTAGTGAGCCTGCATGCAGTAAAATGAGATCTAATAGTATAGGTAGGTGTTAAGTTTTAGTTGTTGATTGATTTTCTTTATGGTAATTAAAGACAGGCTTGTTAACTAATTCAAAGTATAGGTAAGACAAAAAATTTTTGTATTCTTCATTTTAATACCATCAGATATTAAGTGATAATATTGGTGCATTTAGCTTAGCTACCTCTTATGTCCAGCCAGTACTTGGTAAGTGTTTATGAAACTACTGATACTACTGGTACTTTCTGCATTTTTGTCTTGTGTCATGGCAGTTATCAAATGATTACATTATTGATGCCTTTATTGCATAATGCCAGTGTAGTTCAAGTTTTCAGCAAATACTTAATACTTGATATTTTTGAAGTCTCTATGTTAATATCTGTAGCAGAAAGCAACATCAATCCAGAGGTTAGAAGCATACAAATAACTATAATAGACATAATATAAACAAATGGTAATGAATAGTTTCGGGATTCAGAGATGTCAAGAAACTCGTTTTAAAGAAGACAACAAAGAATCTTTTATTTAAGTAAAATTTATGAGAACTGTTAAAGATTAGTGAGATTGCAGAGGCAGCGGCAACCACCTTAGTGTTAAAGGGAAAACCTGGAAAATGGTGCTTTATCAATATTTGACTTATGAAAAGGTGGAAGTGGTGGAAATTCTTCTCAGAGACACAGAGAAATGCTGTCATATGAAAGTTGTAAACACCACTTTGTTGAAGAACATGTATCCAAATAATTTATTTTAACATTAAAAAGATCTTTCACTAAATAGATTTCACTGATCCTTAAACTAGAAAGAGAAAGTTGCATCTCTGCTTTCCATTTCTCATCCTATTTTGTGTGTGTGTATGTGTGCCAGTCCTGGAGCTTGAACCTCAGAGTCTGGGCACTGTTCCTAGCTTTTCTGCTTAAGGCTAACACTCTACTACTTGAGCCACAGCTCCACTTCTAGCATTTTTGGTAGTTAATTGGAGATGAGAGTCCTATGGACTTTCCTGCCCAGGCTCACTTTGAACCACCATCCTCCTCTTAGCCTCCTAAGTAGCTAGGATTACAGGCTTGAGCCAGTGCCTGGCTTCTTATTCATTTTGTTACTAGTGTTTAAAAAAAAATCTTCATGGGAGTTTATTAACTAAAAATCATAAACGTTAGTATATTACTGGAGATAAATACAAAGAATACTAATTCCCAAGACCACCTCCTTTTCACAAATGCAAATCTGTTTTTTGATAATAAAGATTATTATTTTGATAATAAAGATTATGGACTGGGATCATCAGTTTAAACTTTGAAATGATTTGTTTTCTGTGTATGAAAAGGAAGTTGAAGAGAGACAGAGATGTCATGTAAACTTCATACCTAAAAATGAGCAGAAATTTGTGTCCATTTGTCATTACCATGTGATGATTTTGAATAATTTACCCTGATCTAGCCATGCCTTTACTTGTGTGCTAGCAATAGCAATATCATACTACAGCCTACCTTGCCTATACAGGACTTCTATGTCCTCATTAAGGCAGTGACCTATACTCATCCTTTGAGGAGGTTTCTTCCTTTGTCCATCCCTCATCTTAGCTATGTTCTCTATGTAGGAAGACCACAGGCTCTTCAACTGTTTATTTGTTTCAAGGTTTTTTTTTTAAATCATAGTCGTTAAAATAAAAGCTTATTATTTCTTTATAAATTCCCAGGTAGTAAAATATTCAACGAATTGTCCTTCACTTAGAAAGAAAGAGATTGAGTGACTTGGTTTCTCTAACTGACTGCCAATTTCTTTTTGAATAGCCACTTGATAACAGATCTAAAAAAAATGACTAAGGCTTCCAATTTTGTGGTAAGACAAATAAGTCAGAAAAGTGAAAGTCAGCATCACTTGAGGCACTAAAGACAGAAATATTAAAGGATTTAAGGACATGTTTTGTATTCTAAATAAGTAAATAGCAGCTGAAAAATGCCAGTGGACTTGAATAGCTAAGGACATAGGCCAAACATTTTGAGACATCCTTAAAGAAAGAAGAAATAAACAATATTTAGAGAATGAAAACAACAGGAGTGAAATCTGCTTAAGTACTTAATATTTAATCCTCAGACATTGAACTTGTACAATCACTTTTTGTCTGATTATGTAATTTCTAGAATATTTACATTCTTTCAGCCTTTTGATACCACAGCTTAGAAAGTCATTCTTTTGGGTTCATACTTCGCTATTCAGATAAAATATCGCTTAGAGGGTTAATACATTTTTCTTAAATCTTAGTGATAGAAACTTATAAAATCCTTTCTTAAAAACTTTTTTTAATTGAAAAAGAATAGTAATATCCAGAAGAGTCTGGGAGTGCAGTATCATATTGTCATTCAAAATTAAAGCTGCATTCATCATTTGCACTACCAGTCCCACTTTTGGGAATGTCTCAACACCATCCCTGCCTGGGTAAATATGATGCATAAACAAGGTTGTTTTTTCAGCTCTTGATGATATTTTAAAAAGTAACATCCCAAGTGCCCATTAATAGGAAACTGAGAAAATAAACTTTGGTATATTCATATAGTAGAATACTTTTTAACTGCTTTATTTACCCCAAGGGAAATAATTTTAACTTATAATATTAAGGGGGAAAAACAAAGTAACTATATAGACATAGATATATAAGTGTATGTATATATACATACCAATCTCTATATAGAGAGAATATTATCTTTTGTATAGAAAAAGGCAAAATAATCTAAGAAATTTAGTTCCTTTGGCAGGTCATAGGGGAAATTTCAAAGAGTAATCTTGAGGTGTAGAAAATACCTAAAGAGGCAGGTATGAGTGAAGAGTATGTTAGGATATCCTTTGGCTTTTTGAATCATGTGGTTATATTATTGTTTTAAAAAATATAGCCTAGGGCTGGGAAGTTGGCTCAGTGGTAGAGTGCTTGCCTTGCATGCCTGAGGCCCTGGGTTCGATTCCTCAGCACCACATAAGCAAAAAGCTGGAAGTGGCGCTGTGGCTCAAGTGAGTGGTAGAGTGCTAGCCTTGAGCTGAAGAGCTGAGGGACAGCGCTCAGGCCCAGAGTTCAGGACCCATGACCAGACTCCCCCCCCCCAAAAAAATATATATAGCCTAATAAATAGATGATGCTGACATAGTATACATAGAATTACAGTTCATCATATCCTCTTAAGCAAGTGAACACTCAAGATTTTGAGCACAAATTTTACCCATGTATTGCTACAGCAGTCTTGGTCTAAAGGTTTTATTCACAGCAAGCCTTTAGCTATTTATGCAGAGGTCTAATAACAAAATGGGACTTATTGACATTCTGGCTCAATGCTACTCATTCATGATTGTATGTATATATTTATATATTTTCCCATAGATGCCAGAGGAACAAGCTTTCTGTGTTTTGGTGAAAATCATGTATTACTATGGTTTACGAAACCTCTATAAAAACAACTTTGAAGATCTTCATTGCAAATTCTACCAGTTGGAGAGACTAATGCAGGTAAATCAAAATTAAGAACTTTTATCATCCAGGGACTTATTGAGTTATTGAATAAGCCTCATAAGGTTGATGAGCTATAACAACCTTTTTAAGTTTCATCAAATGCAGAAGAAAAGGTAAATAGATGGTTTCTGGCTGGTATCTACACTGAATATCAAAATATATGTATGTATCAATTTGACTTGTAAAACTAGTTTCATATTTTAAATGTCCAACTTCAATGCAACATGAAGTGAAAATATAGTAAATTAGAATTAATATTCTACAAGTATTATTTGTAGAAAAATGAAGATACCAAATAAAAATTAAAATGCTAAGATATTTTTCATGCTGATTAACACCATTACCATATTTGAATTCAAGAGGCCACTTGGAAAAGACAGAAAGAATAATTAGACAATTTTTTAAGAACACCTAAAATACATAATTGAGAGACATAAATTTTTCTACATAGCTTTCTAATCCCACATTATTGATGATTTCATAATGTTTTTATAAATATATAGACATGAGAAACATATTCTTTAATATTGCATAGTAAAAAAGACAGGAAGGGTAAAATTATTGACTAGAGCTTTCAGAAGGAATTATCGGTTAGTTTTAAAGTTTTGCCAAAGGTAGAAATCTTAAATTTACAGTATATCTACTTAACATATTTATATGAATTTTTTTTTGGGGGGGGTCTGGTCGTGAGGCCTGAACTCTGGGCCTGGGTGCTGTCCCTCAGCTCTTCAGCTCAAGGCTAGCGCTCTTACATGAATTTTTTGAAAGGTTTGTTAGAACCCAAAATAAATGTGAAGGAAATATATGATTTTATTGTCTTTATTGGGAAAAAGTAAAAAGATTTGAGAAGAAAATTAGTACATCAATGGAGTAGAAGATGCTGGTAGAAGTTCATTGTCATGACTTGTTGAGAAATCCTTTAGGTAGCTATCAGCTAACTAATGAGGGAGGTAAAGATTAGAGACCAAAAGATGGAGAGAACTGGAGTTGAAAACTAAGTGTTCAGAGTGAGATTAAAGTGCTAATCTATTGTGGAGATGAAATGTAGAAGGACAGAAGACTTTAAATATGTAGAAGAAATGGTGAAGTATGTAAATTGAATCATAAACACAATAACAAGTGGGGAGGAAAATAATTCTACAGAAGAATCGGGTAGCTGAAACAATAATTCTACAGAAGAATCGAGTAGCTGAAACAATTAAAAGCAATAGGTTCCTAACCGGGTGCCATGGCTCATGCCTGTAATCCTAGCACCCTGGGCAGGAAACTCTGTGAGACTCTCATCTCCAGTTAACTACCAAAAATCCAGAAGTGGAGCTGTGCCTCAAGTGGTAGAGTCTAGCCTTGAGCAGAAAAGCTCAGGGTCAGTGCCCAGGACACACACACACACACACACACACACACGCACACGCACATGCGCACATGCACACACACTCACACAGTAGGTTCCTTTCTAAAGATTGAACTTTACCATATAAATATATAAAGTATTTATAAATATATAAAATATTTTCTGTGTTAATCATCATTGTGACAAAATACCCATGATAACCAATATAAGGCAGAGAGGACTTATTTTCACTGATTTTTCAAAGGTTCCATTCCAAGGTAAGCTGGCTCCATTGCTTTGTATGTAAAGTGAAGCAGAACATCAAGGTGGCAGGAGCATGTGACAGGAAGCTGTTACCTCAGGGCAGTCAGGAAGCATAGAGACAGAAAGGGGCAGAATATACCCTTAAATGATACATTTCTAGTCACTTCCTCCAACCACATTCTTTTTTTTTTTTAATGTTGGTGGTGGGGCTCGAACTCAGGGCCTGGGTGTTGTCTCTGAGCTTTTGCACTCAAGGCTAGTCCTCTATCACTTTGAGTCACAGCTCCACTTCCATCTTATTCTGAGTAGTTTATTGGAGATAAGTCTGACTTTCCTGCTCAGGCTGGCTTTAAACCACGACCCTCAGATCTCAGCCTCCTGAGTAGCTGGGATTACAGGTGTGAGCCACCTGTGCCTGGCCTAGATTCTTCTTTCTTATAGTCCATGAGCTCATTAATTGATGAGGTATCATCAATGACCTATGATCCAACCACCTCTCAGTAGCACCAGCAGCTGAAGACAAGGCATTCAGAACATAAGCCTTTATGTAGGAGCATTTCAAATCCAAATCACAACACTCTTTTCACCTTTCTTTCACAAAAGGTCATGTTTCATCAAAGGTCAGTATTTCTGATGGCTTTGAAAGTCAAATTAAGTATGTCTAATAAATGAAGTAAAAGTGTGATATGAAGAAACTCAACCACATTTTTCTATTAGTCTTCTTTGTCTGTTAGCTTGATGACCATTTGGACACCCACTTAAAGCACTAGAAGGGTATAGTTCAATGTCTTCTTGTGATCATCTTGTATAAGAAATGATTTGGTTTTTGTGGTCTTTTATAAAAAAACAAGCAAACATTAGCTTATAGATAGCTTCACTTGTAGGCATAGCTATACTCATCCATTGTACTTTGCCTTTCATTCTTTTGAAAGGCAGTTATCTTTTTAACTTGGGAAAAGAATAAAGCTAGTATAAAGGCATTTTCAGGAGGTAGTTTCATGTATTATACCTTTGTATCATTTTACTTTGCCATTTTTAATGTGCTGAGGATAGATTTTTTTAATAGTTGAATATTCTTTTGAATTTTTCATATACTCACAAATATACTAAAATGGTATCATAGATCTCAGATAACATTGATATTAGATAGTGTCCAAAAAGAGGATACATTGTTTTCTTGCTATGTAAGCAGTGCTATTCTGACTTGCTGCTTGAATCAAGATGGTCATTGAACTACTGGTCAATTCTGTCAAAGGATGCATATCCCCCAAAATGGAAAATAGCCAAGCAAGCTAAAGCTAACTTCGTTTCTTTCTTGTTCACAAAAAGTTTTTGTTTTCCTCAACTGTCTGGTATATGCTCTAGTCCTGTCTCCTCTCATCATTTGCATTGTAATGTAGCCAGTGGCGGACTACAGGTAAGGTGATATCAGACAATGTGCTATAAATTGCAGTTGTGGGAAGAAATAATACTTTTCACTTCGACTTTTAGGAACAGCTACCGGACCTTCACAGTCATTTTAGTGATCTGAATCTGGAAGCTCATATGTATGCATCACAATGGTTCCTCACTCTTTTTACTGCCAAGTTCCCACTCTGCATGGTGTTCCACATCATTGATTTACTGCTTTGTGAGGTACAGTGACTCCTACCTTTTATTTCATACCTAAGGCAAAATAGAAAACAGTGTGTCCTTAAAATCCTGTTTTTTTCATTGTCTTTTTTCATATGATATTAAGCCATCCTCACTAATATAAAAGTTTTTTTGAAATTTTCAGAATCCTTTAGCTGCTCCTATTTGTTTATTTCATTTTCTTTGTTCCTTAAATCACTGTATTTGTTTGCTTTTTGTTATTTGGATGGTGGTGATGGAGATTGAACAACACTCATGTTAAACATATATTTCACCATTGAACTGTGGTTTATCCACCACCCTCCTTTACTCTTGTAAAGTAATAATTAATACTATTCATATACATATCTTCTATTACCCATCATTGTGTGACAATGTGATATGAAAGTTACTAGATGAGAAGTTATATATTTAATGGAAGCATAAATATACATAAAATATAGCTATATTCAGCTAGAATAATTCATATTAAGCTTATACATATGATTATCCACTTAACCTTAATCAGCTTTAAATTAATAAACTTTATGAATATTTCTGTCCCATAAAAGAAAAGACTAGCTGGGTGAGGTGATAAATTTGCAGTCCCAGCTATGTGGGAGGTAGAGATGGAAGAATTGTTTTTTGTGACTATCTCTGGCAAATAAAGTTAACAAGACTCTATCTCAGAAAACCAAGATGGCCTGGAAGTGCATGCTTGTGTCCAAGGAGTGATGCATCTGTATGGTGAAGGGGTTGAAGAAGCACAAGTTTAGAACCCTAACTAAGAAACAACTAAAGTGAAACCAACTGAGGTGTGTCTCAAGTAGTAGAGCACTTGTCTAGTAAGCAAAAGACCCTAAATGCAAACACTAATATTGCTAGCTACATAATTAAATAACTAAATGAATAAACAAATAAAACTTACCATTTAAATTACCTTCTTTAGACATTAGAAATGTGAATACAAAAGTAATATTTGAAAAGGTAAAGTATAAGGTGTATAAAGAAGAACAGTGTTATTTCTCAACCTGCCACAAAAGAAACCATTTGTGTTTAAGCTTTGTGGGCTCTTGCTAGTCATTATGTAGGAACTAAAGGTTGCAGAACATTTTGTAAGCAAGTGAGAATTTAAATCATTTGTAACATACTTTGATTTAAAAAGAGATTTGAGTTACTTTTTAGGCTCATAAAAGGGTCTTGAATCTGGAATATATAACAGGGAGAGAAGGTGATTGATAATACATTGATTCTGTTCATTTTACTTACAAATTAGCTTATAAAATTCCATTGTAAATGTAACCCAGAGGGAAAATTAAGAGCTAAAACTTATTCAACATGGTATGATCACATTATGCTTAAAGCAAATTGAGGCATTTGTACTAAACCTCTACTTTGCTTGATTAGCCCAATTGGTATTTTGAATTGTTCTTCTCTCCTCTATTTAGAATTTTATACTTTTGTTGTTGTTGTTGGTCATGGGGCTTGAACACTGGGCCTGGGCGCTGTCCCTCAGCTCTTCAGCTCAGAGCCAGCATTCTACCACTTGAGCCACAGCGCCATTTCCAGCTTTTTTCTGCTTATGTGGTACTGAGGAATTGAACCCAGGGCCTCATGCATGCTAGGCAAGCATTCTACCACTGAGCCACCTTCCCAGCCCTAAAAGTTAGTTTTGATTAGTAAGTATTCATGGACACCATTTATTACATATTAAGTTAGAGTTAGTATTTCATGAAAATAAGACAGTGGGAATGTGGCATTTTAACAGTGTTTGCATTATATGTAGTATTAGCTTGCAAATATACTAGCGTGGTTCACAGATTATTTTCTGAAAGAGATTGTTTAATTTTACACTAAATTAGTTCTATGGAATTCATTGTAGAAAAAAGGAATAAAATTAATATTCTTAGTCACACACTGAGTATTGTTGCTCTAGTCTAGTTCACTGAAGTGATGATTTCTTAATGTTGTCTCTGTTTGAATGGTGACACATCTGTACCAGTTTATGGCCCTTTTGGAACCTTACACTCATAATTTCTAAGGAAATTTTATGTGGTAATAATACTTTAACTTCTAATGTCAGTTGCTAAGATAATCAGCAGAATGTATGGATGGAAATTTCATTTGTAAGCCTTCCTATAACTTGTCATAGTGGGAGAAAGAGTCCATGATTCATTAAAATTAATAAAATCCCTATACTGGTACTTAAACCTGTACTCTGTAGCTGTTTAAGAAAGTTGCATAGATTTCCAAAACACAGGGTAGGTCATAATCAGAGCATAATGATTTCCAGGGTAGTAACAGAGTAAAGTAACGTTTCAGAATCAACTTAATTAGGAACAGTATTGTAGTATGCTTCAGGATGTTTGCTCTTTCCACTAACTCATCTTTGTCAAGGATTATTTCGCAAAGGAAATTTTGAATAAACTTTGACTTCCTGCCTATGTTTTCTCTTCGCCCCTTTTTTTCTTGTAGTTAATAAAATATTTATATCAAAAGCTATTCTTTCATATGTGGTAAAATATTCTAATAGAGGAAATGGTAACATTGTCTTAAATAGATCATCTACTAGGTGTTTGTTTCTGTCATATTGTCTCTTTTTAAGAAACAATTCAAATCTTAATGGTTATGGATTGACTTTCAGTTACAAATGAAAGGATAGGAAATTCTCAGATGGAAAATATTGATATTTTGAAATTTATCATTCTGACAAAATATTAATCTGCAAAATATTTTTCTCAGAGATCCTATTATAAAATGAAAAGAAAAGGATTTCATTTGATACTTTACTCTTAGAAGACATATCACCAGGTCATACTTTTCAAACTACCTACTTTAAAAGATTTGTCCATGCATTCTCATAGTAAGAATATGAAATAGCCTTAACAGAAATTGAAAAATTTTACTTTTGACAGTGGATTCTTGTACTTATTAAGCCCTATTACTTATTAGTACTTACTAGTACTTATTAGTAGTTTTATTCAAAATGTTTCCTTAAGGGCTGGGAAGGTGGCTCAGTGGTAGAGCGCTTGCCTTGCAAGCCTGAGGCCCTGGGTTTGATTCCTCAGCACCACATAAGCAAAAAGAAAAAAGCCGGAAGTGGCGCTGTGGCTCAAGTGGTAGAGAGCTAGCCTTGAGCTGAAGAGCTGAGGGACAGCGCCCAGGCCCAGAGTTCAGGCCCCACAACCGGACCCAAAAAAAAAACAAAACAAAACAAAAAAAATGTTTCCTTATGCCTGAATATATGGTGGCTGGGTTAATTCCTCTGTTTAAGTTGAAAATGAATGGCAAGAAGATTCGAAATTAGAATTGGAAAATATATTTTCTTATTATATAATGAATGAATGCCATTCTTTGTAGATTATCTTTTAGCCAATAAATTAAATGAAAAATTACTTTTGAAATCCTGTTTTATTGTCAAGCTCAGTGTAGAGAGGTAAGAGATACTGACATATTAAATTTATGGTGTATTATGCTGTTAATCTACCAAAAACAAAAAATACTGCACTGTTTGAAAGTTTTCACTGAAATATAAAAAGTTTAAAAATATACAAATTAACATAGCACTTGATATTTTTCATAAAATAAATATGCTAATGTGACTAGCACCCAGATCAAAGAAAATCAGAGCTTTATCTGCATTTCACAAACCCTTCTCTCCCATTATTTCTCAGAAGAGTCATCACTATCCTGACTTTCACTTTTATTTAAATGTAATCATAAATATGAAATTTGTCTAACTTTTTATCCTTTGTTACATGTGAAATTTTCATCCATTTTCCCCTTCTGGGACTATATTATTGTACTCTATTCTTTCATTCTGATTATGATAAGCATTTAAATTGTTTCCAGGCTGCTATGAATAGTGCTGAGATGAATGATCTTAAACTTTGGTGAGCATAGAAATGCACTTCTGTGGCTATACAACTAGGAATGTGATTGCTGGTTTCGAATGTACATACTTTGAGCTTAAGTAAAAGTGCCAAATAGCATTACAGAGATTTACCTTTTTTATTTCCATACCCTTGTTCATTGCTACACTATTCACAATAGCCAAGTTATGGAAACAGCCAATATACCTTATCTTTTAAGGCATTTTAATTCAGAATAGGTTTGTCTTGTGATTTGCTTTTGTTTTTGATAGTAGGTTCTGGATCAGATTATAGTTCATGAATATACAACAAAGTGAAACTCATTTGGATATTGAAGAGATTGACATGACTTCTCACGTATCATTTAGATTGAACGTATGGACTTGACCTAAAAGCTGAATCACTTTTGTGCTTATATGAGAGAAATAACCCTTATGAGGAAATTCCAGTCAGGTATTGAGTGTTAGAAGAAGCAACATAGAGCAATATAATGTTGGAGTTAAACTATTGGACATTTTAAGATGATCTATATAGGTCTGTGTGTGTGTGTGTGTGTGTGTGTGTGTGTGCGTGCGTGCACGTGCGCGTGTGTGTGTACACACATGGGCACGCAGTGTCCTCCCTCCCTCCCTCCCTCCCTCCCTCCTTCCCTCCGTCCCTCCCTCCTTCTGTTTCCTTCCTTCCCTCTGTTTCCTTCCTTCTCTCCTGTTTTCTTCTTTTCCTTCTTTCTTTTTTGCTGCTCAAGGCTAGAACTCTAGCACTTAAGCATAGCTCCAATTCTGTGTGTGTGTGTGTGTGTGTGTGTGTGTGTGTGTGTGTAATTGGAGTTGAGTCTCATGGACTTTTGTGCTGGGATTGGCTTCAAACCACAATTCCTAGATCTCAGCCTCCTGAGTAGCTATGGTTACAAGCACAAGCCACGGACGCCTGGCTAGTATCTTTATTTTTTTAAAATGAGGCTAACAATATTTATCTTTCATGTTTTGTGGAAGGATTCATATCCAATAAATATTTCTCTGCAGTTAGCTCTATCCATCTGTCTGGCCTTTTAATTACTTTTCAGTTTCTTTCATTTAACTGACTTTTTAATCACCTCACTACTTGCCACTCTGATAAGATTACTTCTTTGTTAAAAGCAAAATTTTAGCCAAT